GGGGGGAGGGGGTGACCTTTGGCACCCCCATATTTGTTTTTTTGGGGGGAGGGGTTTTTTTGGGGGGGGGCCCCCCCCGTGTTGGGGGCCGCTTCTTTTTTAAATTTTTTTTTGGTGCCGGGGGGGCTCGGGGCTTGGGAGAAAACGGGGGGGGGGGGGGCCCTTCCCGGGCTGGGGGTTTTTAAAAAAGGAGAGGGGGGGCTCGGGGGTTTTTGGGGGGGGGGAACACCCCTTTGGACCAAATTTGGGGGAACCCCGGGAAGGGATTTCCCCCCCCCCAAAGGGAAAGATTTAATTTGGGTAAAAAAGAAAACCCGTAATCCGGTTGTGCCCCCCCCCCCCCCGGGGCTTCCCCCCCCCCCCCCCCCGGCGCGCGCAGGAGCTCCAGGACCCTGGAACGTGGAAGTGGAACCCCCTCGCCCCTGCTGAAAGTTTGAAACACGAAGCTAAAACCTTTTGGGGATTGTGGGATGCGCTCATCAACATCATCGATACGGCTCTCTACAATTACATCAATCCACCCTGACCTCTCTCTCCCTCGCTGGACACCTGGCACTTCACTGAAGTCACCTTAATCACGCCCTTGCGCCTTGGGCTGAACCTTCTTCTCTGCAAGTGTTGGATTGCAAGCAGCCTCGCTCGCAATCCTAGAAGTCGAAGGAACAAGGATTGAGTGAGCGTGTCACTCCTCGCTCGCAATCGTAGGACGTAGCATCCAGGTGCATGTTGTCCGGGGGTGGCGTCATGGGTGGTGTGCGTCCCCCACGATCCATCTCGTCTGAGTTTGACTGTTCTGCTTTCCTTACCTTACCTCCTCACGCCTCTCCGAGCAGCTCGCGCCTGCGCGCCAGCAGCGCCTCAAGCTCGGCCTCCGCCGCCTCGGCGCCCACGAGCGCCCACGAGGCCACTTCGTGCGCCACGGTCTGCTGCCTTGGCTGCGCCTGCGCCGACGCGGCGAGCGCCTCGCGCAAGCGCCGGAAGAGCGTCGGCTTGTCGCCGTCCGCCGGCCGGCCGAGCTTCTCGAGGGCCGCTCGCAGCTCGGCGAGCGAGAAGCGGTTTAGCCCCCCCTTGTCGAGGGCGTCGGCCGAGAGGTGCACCGCCATGACGCCCGCCGTGTAGTCTTCGACGCCCTCGTGCACCGCGCCCGAAGAGAAGTTGTCCTTCGCGTCGACGACGTCGTACCGCGTCGCCACGCGCCGCTCCCAGCGCTGGTCGCGCTCGATGGTCGCCTGGCACGCCGCGATCTCTGCGTCCACCTCCTCCACCAGCCGCTTGAGCGTGGCGGCGCCGTCGCCGGCGGCCTGGCTGCGCATCTCGACGCGGCCGCACGCCTCTCCGAAGCGGAGGGACTGGATGGACTCGACGGCGTTGCGGGCCTACTTGTTCGTAGTAGTAAGTAGTAGTAGTAGTGATCATCATCAATGGATGGACTCGACGGCGTTGCGGGCCTCGAGAGAGGCGCACACGAGGACGGTCGTGCGCGCGCCGCCGCAGAGCGCGTCCTTGAGGAGGAGGGTGAGCCTCGAGTCGGCGAAGGGGACGTGAGACGGGGCGCCTCGCGCGCGCAGCCCGTCCCGCCTGCGGAGCCCCTCGATATCATATCAGATTATATTATATTAGATGATGTCCTATTGTATTATGTCCCGCCTGCGGAGCCCCTCGATGCAGCGCTGCAGCGCGTACAGCCCGACGTTGATGTTGAGCGACTCCTGCAGGAAGGTTCAGAGAAGGATCAGGGAAGGCTCAGGGAAGGCTCAGGGAGGAGACGTTGGTGTTGCGCGACTCCTGCAGCCGCGCGCGGTGGCGGTAGTAGTCTGCCCACGAGATGCGGGAGACCTCCTCGCCGCCCGAGGTTACGACGAGCGACTTGAAGCCGTCCGCGGCGCCGGACTTGCCCAGCTTCTCCGACCCCCCCAGGTCGGCGAGGAAGAGGCGCGTCGTGCGCTCGACTCCGCCCGCGCTCTGGGAGAGCGACAGGATGAAGAGCGCGTGCGCGCGCGAGGAGCGCTCGTTCATCGCCGTCGCCGCCTTTCGCTTGCAGGCGTCGCCCTGCGAGATGAGCGCGAGGGCGGCCTCCACCGAGTCGACGGGCACGTCCGCCCGCCCCTCGAGCACCCACCTATACCTCGGTCGAATCTCGGCTAGATCTCGGCTGTACCTCGGCATGTCCGCCCCTCGAGCACCCGCCGGTGAGCGTGGAAGTGGTTGTCGGCGCCGCCGTCGGTGGCGCCGATGGAGGCGCCCGACCGCAGCAAGTCTGTCACCTCGTTCCCGTACACCTCCACGTACGCCACGCGCAGCGCCGCGTCAACGCCCACGCCGCGCCGCGCCTGCGTCGCCTCGATCACCTCCGCGCAGACGCGCGGGACGAGGCCGAGGCGGGAGGCTGCAGGCCCAAGCCGCGGGTCGGCGGTGCCGTCGCCGAACATGGTGTGCGTCTTGCCGGCGCCTGCAGGAAGGTTCAGAGAAGGGTCAGGGGAAGGGTCAGGGGAACATGGTGTGCGGTGTTGCCGGCGCCCGTCTGCCCGTAGACGAGCACGCAGGACGAGCGGCCGTTGAGTAGGTCCGCCGCGGCGGGGCGGCCGCACCGCTCGTAGACGACCTCTTGCGAGGCGGCGAGGCCAAAGACGCCGCCGAGCCGGAAGGGGCGAAGCCCGCACCCGGGACCCCTCACCAGCACCTCGGCCTGCTCCTCGCTCACGGAGAGGATCGCCGCGCGCGTGTCGCCGCACGCCGCAGACCTCGCCTCCTCCTCCTCCTCCTCCTCCTCCTCCACGCCGCCGCCGCCTCCCGAGCCGCCGCCACCCCCTCCAGCACCGCCGACCGCCCCCTCCTCCCCCTCCTCGCGCTCCCCCCCCTCCTCGCGCTCGCCGCAGGAAGCGCGCCGCCCGACCACCTGCCCAGCCGACCCACCCCCAGCCGACCCACCCCCTGCACACCCCTCCCCGGCCGCTACGTCCACCCTCCGCCGCTCCGCCTCCTTCCGCACCTCCTCCCGCACCTCCTCCCGCACCTCCTCTCGCACCTCCTCTCGCACCGCCTCTCTCATGTGCTCTCTCATGTGCTCGTGCGTCGTGCGGAAGACCTCGGGGATGGCGCCTGCCGGGCGTGTGAAGACGGACGTGTGAGACGGACGTGTCGGGGACACGAAAGACGCAATCGGCTAGACCTCGGCTAGATCTCGACTAGACCTCGACTAGGCTAGACCTCGGCTAGACCTCGGCTAGACCTCGGCTAGACCTCGGCTAGACCTCGGCTAGACCTCGACTAGACCTCGGCTAGATCTCGGCTAGACCTCGCCGTCGAGCTTGCGGCCGTGCGAGAGTGCGCAAGCGCGGTCGGCCTGCTCGGAGCTTCCGATGATGAATGCAATGCACAATGGCGAGCCGCTCACAACTAAGGTCGGCCTGCTCGGAGCTGGGAAAGACGACAAACGCCCCCCGACGCCGGGCGAGGGAGGGGTGCGCACGCACGAGGTGGACGGAGACGGGCTGGACGCCGCGCGCCTCTCCTCCCGCCAGCGTGTCGAAGAAGGCGCACACCTCCGGCTCGCCCGTGCCCGGGTGCAGGGGTGTCACCTGCACGATGCCGGCGCTACCCTCCACTTCTTCGACCTGCTGCACCGCCGCCTCGGCTGCGCTGCACCGCCCGCCGGCGGCGCAGGAGGAAGAGCTCTCTCCGCCCGCCGCCTCGCCTGGCCGCCCCTTCTTGCGCAGCCGTCCGTACAGGTGGGGCTTGAGGTGCTGGCTGCGCGCAACCTGCTCGTCGTCGACAATGTCAATTCTGTTGCATTTATGACACTCTCTTGTGATCTCATCAACCTGCTCGTCGTCGACGGCGGCGAGGTGCGCCGCCGCCGCCGCCTGGCGCTGCGCCTCGAGCGCGGCAAGCGAGGCGTCGGACGGCCGCTGCGCCACCGCGACGTCCGTCGACCACGGGTCGGATTTGCTCGCGCCGGACTTGGCCTCCCGCATCATCACCAGCTTCATCGCCTTGGCCTGCGAGCAGCCGTGCTTGGCGCGCACCACCGCGACGCGCTGGTGAAAGGGCATCGTCATCGCGTCGCCCGCACCGGCCGCGTCGCTGCCGCCCGCGGTTTTTACCGTCGGCCGGAAGCGAGCGCACACGCTCACCGAGAAGGCCTCCGCCGGCACCGAGCCGCCGTCTGGCTCCCACAGGTTGCGCCGGCGCCAGAGCTCGTGAAAATGAGCTCGCCAGTCGACGCTCGGGCGAAAACCCTCGGGCACAAAGAGGAGGCACTCGTCGCGAAGCCTGAGGCACATCGCTCGCCAGTGCGCCTCGCCTTTGAGCGCCTGGCGCCACGAGCAGCAGACAGCAGGCGCAGCACCGCGCGCTCGCCAGTCCGCGTGGCGCAGCACGACGGAGAGGACGTCCACGAAGGCCGAGGAGGCGGCGGCTGGGAGCTCGTCCACATTCATGGTTGGTTTTTCATGGTTGGTTTTTAGGGAAGCGTTGCTGGGTTCGGGCCCAGCAGGGTGAGGGGTTTTCGCGTAAGGTAAACTCCTCCACACACACGAGGTGGTGGGGCAAGGGGGCGACCCTCCCGTCTCCACGTCTAACGACAGGAGCCCCACGGCATCAAAAGTGCAAGGCCCAGTGCGCGTGGGTGAGCGGTGTGTGTGTGGATAGACGTCTGGGAAGGATCTCGCGATTTCGTCGTTCCAGGTCAAGAGGATGCGGGCGTGTTGGGCGGCCACGCCTCGATCTTCTTGGGCAGCAGCTGGTTCGACAGGTCCTCTCCGTGGCCTAGGCAGCCGTGTTCGCCCTTGCCCCACGTGAAGATAGCGCCGTCGCCGGTGAGGGCGAGGCTGTGCCAATCTCCCGCCGAGACAGCCACGGCGCGCTGGCCAGCAAAGGCCTCGACCTTCTTGGGCAGGAGCTGGAGCTGCTGGTCGCCGTGGCCCAATCGGCCATGGTCTCCATCGCCCCAGCTCCAGACGCTGCCGTCGGCGGTGAGGGCGAGGCTATGGAAGTATCCCGCCGACACAGCGACGACGCGCTGGCCCGCCAAAGCCTCGATCTTCTTGGGCAGCAGCTGGTTCGACATGTACATGTCCTCGCCTTGGCCTAGCCGGCCATAGCTTCCATAGCCCCAGCTCCAGACAGCACCGTCGGCGGTGATGGCGAAGCTGTGATGGGCTCCAGCCGAGACAGCGACGATGCGCTGACCCGCGAAGGCCTCGACCTTCTTGGGCAGCAGCTGGCGCTGCTGGTCGCCGTGGCCCAACTGGCCAAGGACTCCAAAGCCCCAGCTCCAGACGGCGCCGTCGGCGGTGATGGCGAGGCTGTGGTTGCTTCCAGCCGACACAGCGACGACGCGCCGGCCAGCGAAAGCCTCGATCTTCTTGGGCAGGAGCTGCTCCTGCTGGTCGCCGTGGCCCAGCTGGCCATCGCCTCCATAGCCCGCAGCTCCAGACGGCGCCGTCGGCGGAGAGGGCGAGGCTGTCGCTCTCGCCAGCCGACACAGCGACGACGAGCTGCTCAGCGAAGGCCTCGACCTTCTTCGGCAGCAGCTGGCGCTGCTGGTCGCCGTGGCCCAACTGGCCTTGCTCCCCCCAGCCCCAGCTCTAGACAGCGCCATTGGCGGTGAGGGCGAGGCTGTGGCACTCTGCAGCCGACACGCTCACAGCACGGAGAGGAGAGGGGAGGAGGGTCGGCGCGTTGAGCCGCGTCACGCCCTCGCCGTGCCCGAGCAGTCCTGGAAGGTCGAACGGCGCGTTGCCGCACGACGACAGCCGCCCCTTGCCGTCGATGAAGAGGCTGTGATACTCGCCCGCAGCCGCCCTCGCCCGCGGGTTGGCCTCGCGCAGGAGCGCGGCAAAGCACAGCCACCGCACGGCACAGCCCTCGCCCGCTGGCGGCGCCGGCAGCTCGAAGCCGCGCTCTTGCGCCCACAAGTGGATGCCGTCCTCCGCGAGCGAGGCGTGGAAGAGCAGCGAGACGGCCGCGGCGCGAGCGATGTCGGCGGGGCTGTCGCAGCGAGAGACGACGCGCACGAGGAGGTCCCTGGGGAGGTCGAGCAGGCGGGCGGGCGGCGGCGCGTCTGGCGAGGGCGCGGCGGTGGCGGAGGCGAGGCGGCGCGAGCGGCGGCGCGCGGGGGTGGACATATATGTGTATACACATCGCGAAGAAAAGAATTTATTCCCGTGGCCCGAGTCGACACCGGCCGGGACGTTACAAGGCGCGACGTCCCACAGAACACCCTCCTCCCCCTTCAATCCTTCTTCTCCGGCCACTTGCCCCGGCCTAATAATCGTCCGCCGTTACGTGTTGTTGAGACGCAAACGTTGTCAATTCGCGTCCTGCTGCTTGCCGCCTGCCTCCGCTTGTGCCGGCTGCTGGCCTGCCTCCGGCTTCTTCCGGCCACATGCCCGCGCCGATCTGGTCCAAGGAGACCCTAGCCGAGTTCAAGAAGCATCAAATCTCGAGCGCGCCCGGCTCCGTTCCCCTCAAGCCGGGGGAGGGACCTCTTCCGTATGGCGGCACGGCAAACAACGGGACTTCAGGCAAATCAGTCTTCGGGAAGAGAAAGATTGTGGCGGGCGACAATGATCCTAACCCGCGCGCGCTGATGCTGAACTTTCCCCCCGAGCCGTCCGCTGAAGCCCTCGCGGGGTGGGTGAAGAACTACAAGTCGTCCATTCCAAACAGCACTGGGAAGGGCGATTTTATGACAACCAGCCAATCCCAGTTCGGGGTCCCGAGCTATCGCGAGTCGGACCTCGCCGCGCGCAACTATAGTCACGGGGACCTGAGGCAGCAAGCCTTCACGCGGCCGCAGCCACAGATCTCCTACTACCCGCCTGCTCGCGAAGGAGAGGCCTCGCAGGAGGACGCCAGCTACGAGTGGTCGTGGCCAGAGAGGCCAGTGCGGACGAATCCCCCACAGCTACCCAAGGCTGAGAGGCATGAGAGCTCCTTCATCGAGGAGTACAACCTTCGGCCTCCCTGGCTAAAGTATTGACGCATGATGTCGTGGGGCAAGCAGAACATACTTCTTTTGAGCGGGTTTTCTGCCCCTCTCATCATCGTAGTGTTCCGCGCGACCGCTCTGTCACCTCGCCACGCTGCCCGCCGCTGAGAGGCTGGTGACGACCTTGTCGGCGCACGGCGCGCGGTGGAGCGGGCGCCGCGCGTGTGAGAAACACTATATTTCGCGACTCGTTCTGCTATTTTTCCGCGCGCTCTCTTACGATAGTGTGTCTAGGAAGTGTGCAAAATGCAATCACGAGTCAGTGAAAGCACGGTGCGTGTACACAATCACTGAGGTACATCAGCTTTTTTAGAGCGAGGCGATGCGCCGCGCTCTCGAGAACCATCGATGCGACACAAACTGCACGTCTCGCGCGCGCGTGAACAGGGCTCCAGGCCCCAAATGACGTGTGAGTGTTAGAGTTGTTTGGTATTGCTAAAAATCTCTCTCTCGATGCGTCTATTAATAATTGTAAATTGAATGTACCGGCGCCCGGCGCCGGTGCCGGTCCCGCGGGGTCGTCCGCGCTCCCTCACGAGAGCAGGCCCGCCGCTGACCGATTCGCCTCCTCCCCTGCCCTCCCTGCCAGGCCCTGCGCCGCCGGCGGAATCGGGCAGTTCGGGCACTCCCGCTTGGCCTGAGGCGAGTCTCTCAGCCACCTGAGGTGCCGACCCGGCGCGGGGAGCCGAGCCACCCCGCCGCCGCCCGTGCAAGTCACATTCTCAGGGATGCCGAACCAGCGCAGCCTCTCGCGGAAGACGGCGACGGCCTCGTCGTAGAGGAGGAGGTCGTTGGCGTTCAGCGCCGCCACGCGCTCGCGCTGCGACTCGCTCAGCTCCTCGAAGGTCAGCTTGGCCACCTTGTGCTTGCCGCTGCCCCTGCCGGCGGCGTCGTTGGCGAAGCGCAGCCCAAACTGCGCCTCGAAGAGCTTCTCGGTGGCGCAGCGCGCCTCGTTGAGGCCGAAGAAGGAGAACTGGAGCAGCGTGTGCCTGTGCTACGGGCGGCGGCCAGTCAAGAAGCTGTGGGTAGGCGCAAGAGGCGGACACGGAGGGGCGCGTGCCGCGCGAGCAGCCACGTGCACCAGCGCGACTCGCCTGACGGATCATGATCGGTCCTCATTCATTCATCAGCTTCGTAGTCGGCCACGTGCACCAGCGCGACTCGCCGACGCGCTCGCCGCCGCCGCAGAACTGCCGCCGCAGCTGGAAGCCCTTGCGCCGGTTGGCCCCTGCGTGCGTGAGGGCGCGGCTCTGCCGGTCGGCCGCCATGTTCTTTGGGCACGAGATCCAGGCGTCGAAGAGCGAGTCGTACTGGCCCTTGCTCACGCGGTCGATGCCCCTCGCCGCGATGGCCGCCTCCCGCGCCGCCAGCAGCTCCGAGCACGGGTGGCGCACGCGGGGCGGCGTCCCAAACTGCCACTCCCACCCGTTGTAGTTTTCGTAAAACTCGGAGAGGAATCGCGCGAGCGGCTCGCGCAGCATGGTGACGTACCTCAGGCCCGCCGCCTTGGAGCGCTCCCCAGCGAGCCGCGCGGCGAACATGACGTGAGACTGCACCACGCGCAGCGGAGAGTGTACCCCGCCCTGCCAGCCGACCGTCTCGGGCGAGAGGAGCCACTGCCTAAAGGCGAGAGCAGCGCCTCTTCACGCCTCGGTGCCCCGGGCAGCGCCGAGGCGAGACGAGGGCCCGCTGCCGCTGCAGCCATACCCAGTTCGAGAGCGGGCCGAGCCGCTGCCGGCTCACCGCCTGCGGGCGGATGGGCATCGAGTGAGTCAGTGACGGCGTGACTAAGACTCGCCGCCGCCGGAGCGCCGCCTGCTGCGCGCTCGGCGCCCACCTGCTCTGCCTGCTCGCAAGCGCCTCCCGCACCTCCTTGAGCGCCACCGCGCTACCCTCGGCGCTCCCGTTGCTCCCGCCGAGCGCGCCGCCGCGCCAGCGCGGCGCAGCCAGCAGCGGCGCCCGCGGGCAGAGGCACGCGAGGGGCTCGACGAGGGCGTGGCCTGCGGGGAGGGGGGCGAGGCGACCTCACACAGCCAAGCCGTGCCCAGAGAGGCGACGGAGGCGGCGAGGCCGCGGCCGTTGTGCATCGGCCGCGACGCGTCGCGCGCGCACGCGCATCCGTCGCCGTCGCCGCGCCGCAGCGAGGTGAGCCGACCGTTGAAGGAGGTGCCGCCGCACTTTGCGATGTGCAGAAAGACGAGCGAGTCCGCCTCGTGCCTCCAGGCAGCCAGGTGGCCGGTGACTGAGCAAGTGTGCGGGGGGGTGCGGGCAAGTCGAGCGGGTCGGCCTCGCCGCCTCCACAGCAGGGCCGGGGCACTCTCGAGCAATCTCGGGTCATCTCGGGTCATCTCGGGTCGTCTCGGGTAACCTCGGGTCATCTCGGGTTATCTCGGGTCATCTTGGGCCATCTCGGGTCATCTTGCGCCATCTCGGGTCATCTCGCGCCATCTCGCGCCTCCACGGCACCGGGCCTTGCACCGCGGCCGCTGCGCTGCCCACCCCGTGGTCGTTGCCAAAGACTCGCGCCGCCCGCACCTGCGCCTTGAGGTCGAAGGGTGGCTCCGGCGGCGGCGGCGGCGGCGGCGGGACGGGCGAGAGGCTCCCTGCGAATCCAGAGTCCATCAGTCATTGGTCAATGGCGGCGGCGGCGGAACGCGCGAGAGGCTCGCGCCGCGCAGGCGGAGCTCGAAGAGGGAGAGCGCCTATGGACACGTCTCGGACATGTCTCGGACATGTCTCGGACATGTCACCGCCGAGCTGGAAGAGGGAGAGCGCGCCGTCTGCCAGACCGCCGCGTCGACCGAGTTGCCGTCGAGCCACGCCGCACGCGCCGCGGAGGCAGCGGCGCTCTCCCCTGCAGCTGCCGCAGCGAGGAGAGGGAGCGGCGGGGCGGCGGGGCGGTCTCGCGCTGCGGGCGAGGGGTCGGCTCGCTGCGGCGGCGGGGCCTCTGCAGAGGGGGAGGGGGGGGAGAGGGAGGCGGCAGCCGAGAGCAGGGCGTCTCGCGCGGCGCGGTGGTGGTGCTTCGGAGCGGCGGTTGCAGCGGTTGCAGCGGATGTGGCGGTTGCGGCGGATGCGAGGAGGGCGGCAGAGGCGGTTGGTCGGTCGGCGATGCCGAGGAAGTCGAGGGAGAGGAGGGCCTATGGGACAGTGTCGCATCCCCTCCTCTCCCACCCCACCCCATCACACCCTCCCTGCAGCGGTCGAGCGGGAGGAGGGCCTGAGTGGCGAGGGTCTGGAGTGCCGCAGGGCTGCAGCCGTTGCCTTCGGCAGTCGCATTGCTCGAAGTGAGGGCGGAGGAGGCGGCAGCGGCGGCAGATGCGGCAGCGGCGGACGCGGCGGGTGCGTGCGCGACGGCGGGTGGACCGGGTGCGTCGCCGAGACAACCAAAGACGGCAGCGCGGGCGGCCACCGGTCCGGTCGCCGTGAGGGCGAGCACGAGGGAGCGGGAGAGCGGGTTCGGGCACGAGGCTGCGAGGGTGCGCACGTCCGCAGCACTCGCATCGCTCAGCGGCGTGGAGGCGCGGGCAGCCGCGTCGCGCAGCGCGGCGGCGCACGGCGGCGCGCTCGCCCCGCCGGGCGGCGCCACGGTGCTAAAGATTGCCTCCACGGCCGCCGGTCTGCCGAGCAGGTGCGCGGCGAAGCGGAGCGGCTCGGAGAGCCAGGCAAGGACGGCGCGGCGAGGCGGCGGCGGTGACGACGGCTGCGCCGGATCCGATGGCGGCGACGACTGGAGCTGAAGCTCAGCGAGGAGCGTGTCCTGCAGCTGCCGGCTGCGGCGGGGTGGAGCGGCGTCAGCGAGAGCACCCCATGCTGGCAATAGAAGTGGCGACTGGTCGCCGGGCCATCCGTGGCTGCGCATCCGCGAGGTGGCGACGAAGCTCTGCTCCGGCGGGTCGAGGACCGGGACGCACGCCTCGCCCGACCGCACGCAAACGCCGCCGCAGCCACCGTCCCGCTCTCCGGGCCTGAAGCGCTCGCAGTCAGCGCACGAGGGCGCGAGGTGGCTGCCGCAATCGACGAGGCTGCTGGCGGCGGATAGGCGACCGATCCGCTCGTGCTCGGCGTGGGCCCAGCGGACCATTGCGGCGCCCTGCCAGCCTGGACAGCACACAAGCCAGAAGTGGCGGGCTTCCGTACAGTTGTATTGGTTGGTGCAACCAGGAGCCTTCGGTCGTGTGAAGAGCACAGATGATGTAGTGAGTGAGTGGTCCCGGGCCCTGCGGGAACTAAGTCGGCGCAAGTTAGTCTGTGAGCTGGACGAGGGCTAGTGGTGCGCCGAGGCGGGTCAAGTGGTGAAGTGCTCCCGGGAGTCGTGGTCGGAGGCCGGGACACTAGAGAGAGAGATTTTTAAAGACTACTCCTTATCAGCTGGTCGGCCGCCATGTGGGCCTCCGGGCCTGCTGCGGCGGCGCGGCCGGTTGAGGCCGGGCTCGGCCCGGCCCGCGACGGCTGGCCGCCGACGAGCGCGCTCGCGCTGCTCGTCAAGATGGCGGCGGTGGCGATTGCGGCGACAAAAGTTCAGGCGTACGGCGCTCAGGCGCCTGTCGTCTTTCGTCTTTTGTCGCATTTCGCACACGCGCGCGCTCCGCGACGGCATGAGCATTCCGCGATTCGATCCAGCAGCCATGCACATACACGCCGCAGCAAAACTCGCATGTCGAGCGATTCTTTGGCATCGTCTTTGGAACTGCCCGTGTGCTTCTCGCCGCCGCCAATCTGCCTCCGACGTTCCACCCTTTTGCCCTCCAGGCCGCAGCGTGGCTTCAGAATCGCCTTCCTCGCTCCACACGCAACTGGCAGTCACCCTTCTTTTTGCTCAGCCGCCAACAGCCTTCCGTCGAGGGCCTCTACGCCTTTGGTTGCCTGTGCGCCGCCACGATTCCCAAGCCTCGCCGCGACGGTGACCGCCACTTTGCCGACCGCGGGGATTTTGGCCTCTATCTCGGACCCTCTGAGATCAGTCCCGGGCATGTCGTCTACCTCTTTTCGACCAAGGTCATTCAGGTCGTCGCCAAGCTGCGCGTCTGGGAGGACCAGTTTCCTGGCCTCAAAGGGCATCGCTACGCGTGGTTCCCCAGTGATGAGGCGCTTCCCCCTGACAGCGGCGTTCCAGAGTCAGTTTCCGCCCCGCCGCCCGACCGGCCTGACGCTCCCGAACCTGCTGCTGGTCCTGCGCAGGAGCAGCAGCCGCAGCCACAAGGCAGAGCTGAGCGCTCTGTTCGCGAAACCACCACTAACGCTCGCGGCGATGACGCGCCTGCTCCCGCTCCTGCGCCGCCCTCGACGCCTCCCGCGCCTTCTCCCGCCACTCCGGCCGCGACTCGCTCAGGAGGGGCCACCGTCGAGGTCCCCGTCGAAGTCACGCGCCTCCCACCTCGCGCTACCGAACCCGTCAGGATGCGTAGCCTCACTCCACCTCGCCGCTCAGCTCGCATTCGTGCTCAGCACCTTGGTCAGCTCGCCTGCGCCTTCCTCGTTGCCTTCATCGCCCCAGTTCCGCGCCTCTCAGCCAACATGGCCGCCGCTCTTGTCGCCAACGCCGTTCACGGCGAGTGCCGCGCCGACGACTTCCTTGCAGTTGACAACTCGCTTGGCGCCGTCGACGCCGCCTTCTTCGGCTACGACTCGTCCAACGACACTGCCCTCGTCACCGCCGCTCGCAGCGCTGGCGGCGCCTACTCTGTCACGCTGACGTCCGATCAAGGCGCCCTCCGAGTTCCGAAGAGCTACCGGCAAGCGATGTCGAGCCCACAGGCCGAGCAGTGGCGCGAGGCGATTGCCAAGGAGCTAGCCGGCCTCGTCGCTCTCAAGACGTGGGACCTCGTTCCTCTTGCCTCCGTGCCTACCAGCGCCAACGTGATGCATTGCCACTTCGTTTTTGCCATCAAGCGGAAGGCCGACGGGTCCATCGACAAGTTCAAGGCACGCCTCGTCGCCGACGGAAACACGCAGAAGCATGGTGTTGACTTTGACCGCGTCTTCGCCACTGTTGTCAAGGCTCTCACCATCCGGCTCGTTCTCGCCATTGCTGCCGCGCGTGACTACAACCTCAGCTCCCTCGACATTCGCCAGGCGTACCTTCAGGCCGCCCTCGATGAGGATCTCTACATGCGCGCCCCGCCCGGCGTCAACAACCGCGGCGGAGAGCTCGTATGCAAGCTACGCCGCAGCCTCTACGGGCTCAAGCAGGCTGGTCGTGAATGGGCTCAGCTCCTCTCTTCCTTCCTCGTGTCGTGGGGCTTTGTGCGCTCGACCATCGATGTCTGCCTCTACACCTACGAGAAGGACGGCACCGTCCTGTGGGCTCTCGTCTATGTCGACGACATTCTCCTCGCCGACAACTGCCCCAACTTACGTGCGCGCTTTGTTGCCGACATCTCGCGACGCTTCCCTACCGAGGACAAGGGCGAGCTCGAATGGATCCTCAACACCGCGATCACTCGCGACCGCGCTGCTCGTTCTCTGACCTTGTCTCAGGGCCTCTACACCGCCGACCTCGTCGCGAAGTTCGAGTCGTACTTTGATCGCTCTCGCTCGCGCCACTTCGACTCGCCGATTGAGGAAGGCCTCGAGCTCTCTCCCGCCGATCAGCCCGTTCTCGGCTCCGTCGAGTACGACGAGATGTCCAAGTTTCGCGATGCGTACATGGCCATCGTCGGCGGGCTCCTTTGGCTTGCGAATATGACGCGCGTCGACATCGCCTACTCCGCCTCGCAGCTCGCCCGCTTCATGACCAACCCCGGCCCGTTGCACTTTAAGGCTGCGATTCGTGTCCTCGTCTACTTGCGCGACACCGCTGACCGCTCTCTTGTCATGCGCCCTGATCCCGTCCGTGGCCTCGAGAGCTTTGTCGACTCGAGCTGGGCCACCAAGTTTTCGTGCTCCGGCGGGATGTTCTTCTACTACGGGTGCCTGTTTCATTGGTTCTCCAAGATGCAGCGCTCCGTCACGCTTTCGAGCGCCGAGGCCGAGTTCTTCGGCGCCATGCTCGCCGCCAAGGAAGTTATCTTCATCCGCGAGCTACTGATCGACCTCGGTTTCATCATCGACGCCCCCAGCGTCATCAAGTGCGACTCCAAGTCCGCCGTCGGCATGGCCTTCGACCCCGTCGCATTCAAGAAGACCAAGCACATCCTGCGCGCCGCCGAGTTCCTCCGTGACCTTGTCGCACGCGAGGTCGTCTCTGTCGAGCACCTCCCCGGCGCTGTGATGCTCGCCGACATCCTCACCAAGGCTGCCTCTCGCGCCGTCTTTGTCGAGCTGATCAAGCAGCTCGACACCTTTGCATGATCACGTCAGTTGCGCTCTAGGGGCTAGTAGTTAGTCCCCCTTTTCACTGTGTTGTGTCCCTCGCACCCCCGTGCTCTGGCCAGGAGGGGCTGTTCCCGGGGGGCATAACTCCCCCACAGCGCAGACGTTCACACTTCCACACCCACAGCGCCTCGTCCAAGACCTGTCTTGTGTGTCCTGGACCTGTCTTGCTTTTCTGCTCGTTTTTATGACGCTTCGCCTTACCACGCTCTCATCTCCCTCGATGCTGGCGTTCGCCGCGCTCCATTGCCTCGCGCGCGCGTCCTCTCTGCCGATGGCATCGTTTAGATAGTGCGCGTAGTGGGTGGGCCGCCTTCTATCTAGTGGTCGGCGAGGCCGTGGCCAGTGCCCCGGCCCTGCGGCGCCGCCTAGTGAGTGAGTGCTCGCCGACCCTCCCCACACTAAGTCGTCATCGGTGCTGTGTTTTTTAGTTGGCGAAGGCTCCTGGTGCAACCATGTATTGGTGCAACCAGCCTAGAGCGCGATCTTTCACAGCCTTGTTATTGAGAAGAAAAACCTCTTGGCGCTGTGCGCTGGCCTGTGAGAGGTTGAGGTGCGAGCCCTGGAGGCCCTGGGGATGGGGGGGGACTACCCGCGGGCTTAGAAGGCCCGCGCGCAGGGGGGTGGGGCATTGAGACCGGTCATGAATGAGTGCGCGACACGCATGTTGCGAGCAGCGTTGTTGATGTTTTGCGCATCGCCACTGACGGCGGCGCGCGAGAGCTGTTGCGAGTGGTGTTGGGCGAAGCCCCGGGCGCTGCCGGAGGCTGTGCCGTAGTCGGTGCGGTCGACGGCGCTCGGGCTGCCGACCTCTTTGGCGAAGTTGAAGATAATTCTCTTGGTCGGCGGCGCAATGCCGCCCTGGCTTTCGACGAGACAAATTCACACTTGTGAGCGCGCCGCGTATACACGGCCCGCGCGAGACCGCCGCGCGCCGCTCGCGGTGCCCACACCATCGGGACCGGTCCGGAGCAGCCAGCGATTGGAGCCGAATCGCCAGACCCGACCGCGATCCGGCCCTGGAGCGCCGCGGAGTCGAGCGTGACGACGGGATACGCGCGCTTTTTTAGCTCCATTTCTGTCCAATCGTTCGCGCCCAGACCACTCCCATCCATCGAGGACACATGAGTAGCCTACGACTGACCCGTCTCCGGCCGTGTCTATGCGTTCGTAGGTGCGTTTGGTCCTCGGTGCCAGCGCCCGCTCTCGCTGCGTCGCGCGGGAGATGGCATCTCTGCCGCGTTCGGAGCTGAAGCCGACGAGTTATCCGACGAGCAGGAAGCTCAGCAGCTGACGCGTCAGCGCTTTCATCAGCGACGCGCTGTGCTTTTCCTCGGCCGGCGCCACCACATCTGACTCTTCGCCTCTCCTGCTGCGCCTCTCACCTCCGCCTCACCCTCCGCATCCGCTCTCGCCGCCCCGACGGATGAGGCGCGGGTGGCGCTGCTCGAGCCGGAGGCAACGCCACCGTCGTCGGATCTGGCCAAGCCAAAGAAAACTGCGGCCGCCAGGCAACGCCTCGAGCCGTTGCTCGGTTCAGAGGTGTGCACGCATGCTGTGCGGGCTGCGGTTGCACGAGAGCCGACATTCTTCCTCGCATTCCGCTGGTGCGCGCCGCAGGCGATCTGACTCGGGCCGCTCGAGACGGCTTTCTCAATCTGCAGCCGCATCCGCCTGCGTTCGCAGCTCTGGCTGCGCGCAAGCCATCCCCCCCGATCTGCGCGCGCTGATGCGGGCTGGCAGGATGATGCGGACCGGTGCCGGTCTCTGTCGCGTCCTGGCGACCGATCCTAGCGCCCTAAGCCTCACCTATGCTTGGGCTTGTATAGGTGCCCCAGATCGAGTCCAGATTGAGCGCAGACCGACGCAGGGAGCCGAATTTCGCTTCGCCTGCGGCGCGCAGGGGAGGTCCGGGGGAGGAAAATGTAGTCGATTTTTCGGAAATAGTGCCAATCGATAGATCTCGCCGAGCCCTTTTCGACGGTGTGCCTGCGCGCTTTTTTTTCGTAGTAGAAGTATTTTTCCGAGGCGGAAACGTGAATTAGTCGACTAGGCTGGGTGCACCAATATACGTACTTTTAGGAAGCTTACTGGGAGAAAAGAGAGAGGGGGTCAGTTGTACGAGGAAAGTCGATGGAGCAGTTTGCACATGGCTGGGTCACCGGCGCAGAGAACCGCCACAAGTCCTCACTCGTACAGGCCGGCAAGAGCGAGGAGGCGGCGTTGTATGTGCGGCGGATTCGCGAGGCAAACGAGGTGGCGGCGGAGGAAGCCAAGAGGGCAGCCGATGAGGCACTCGCAATGGCAGAAGAACTCGCTGCGGGGCTGTCATGAGCTGTAGCGTGGAGAAAAGAGAGTGAACCAGCCTCGCCCGGCTCAGCCAGGTCGGTTTTGTAGCCCTCGTTGAACTGTTTGGTGAGTTCTGGTTTTTCGGCATCTCCCATAAGCATAACGGGTCGGGACTCGGGAGACGGAGACGGCGTGGACACAATCGTACCAGGCGCGAAGTACGCCGTCGTGAGGGCGCCGCCGGGCGGCGTTGTTGAGGAACCAGTCGCCATGGTAGTCCTTTGCACCACCGACTGTGTCCCCAAGCTCGAGTGCCCGCGTGACAGTCGAGCGGCACTGCGAGAGGTGAAGGCCGTTTCGGCGCTGTAGCTCGCCATACTGGGAGAGACTCGTCTCTCAGTTGTATGTGCTTTTAGCTTACTGGGAGAAAAGAGAGAGGGGGTTGTGTTCTCTAGGCCCCTAAGGGCCCTACGCGCGGCGTGAGAGCTCAGAAGCGAGCTTTGCACGGCGATCGAGGATGGTCTCTCTCTCTCAGTTGTACCCTCTTGTCAGCCTCTCTCTCTCAGTTGTACCCTCTTGTCAGCCTATGCTTCACTCATGAATCGGTGTGAATCACGCCCGCTGTGAAAACAGTTGGCGGGGGATTTTTTCGCCAGTCAATAGAGCATGAAAATACCTTTCAGACGGTACCTTTATGTCCTCCAGAGTCGAAGAACTCGACCGGTGGCTGGCCGCCAAAGCGGCTGGACGGCGCCGCGGCGCACACTGGTGAGCCGCGGAGCACACTGAGGGAGCTGTCCTCGGCGCAGCCGATCGGCTCCCGCGGCCTGGGTGGTGGCAGTGGCACTCTCTGAGGCTCCCTGATTTTTTCTGGTATTTGTTGAGCACTCTCTGGTCACCTTCGCCGGGCGAGCCTGGCTCTCGCTGCACAGCGGCGCGACCCGCGGTGAGGCTACCGATCGTCGAACTGGGCTTAGCTCTCAACAACTCTAACACTCACACGTCATTCTCTCTTTTCTAGCTCTCAGTCAAGGTATTGTGCATATGGTCGGTCTCTACAATATCTTGACTGAGCACCACCGACGAATCGGCAGCAGGCAGGAAGGCTCGCTGTGTGAGTCGGCCACGCAGAGGGTCGGAACCTGCCTGGCAAGAGGGTACCCGGGGTGAGTCCGCAGCCGCGCAGTTTCGAGGTCTCTTGTTCGTTTTCTTCTCCTCTCTATATACCTAACCAGGAGCCCCAAAGGGTCGAGAGGGGTACCCTGGGGTGGGCAGGGCCTCTACTCCCAGGCGGGCTTCAGAAAGGAAGAAAACAGAAAGCAACAATTCTCGCGAGGCGGAGCATCCCGGCCCCTACCAAATCGTTGCCGAATGAAAAGAAAGAAAACCTTGCGGTTCGTCGAGACACCACTGTCGCGCCGCGCCGCTCTCCCCACCGCGCCGCTCTTCCCCGCCGCCGCTCTGCCCACTGATCGATGTTCTTGACGAGGAGCGAGTACGACCGTGGCGTCAACACCTTCTCGCCGGAGGGGCGCCTCTTCCAGGTCGAGTATGCGATCGAGGTGCGGCCGGCGCCGCCGCCGCCCGCCGCGCTTTGCCGAGTGCGGCTCACCCGACTCTGTCTGCTCCGTGTGTCCGCGTGTGCTCAGGCGATCAAGATTGGGACGACCGCCATCGGGATTGCGACTGCGGAGGGCGTGGTCATCGCCGTCGAGAAGCGGCTCCTCTCGCCGCTGCAGGAGCCGTCGTCGGTGGAGAAGCTCTTCGAGGTGCGCCTGCCGCACACTCGTTTCGCCTCCTCCTCCTGTGCCGACTCCGCCGCCGTCGTGCCGCCACCGCCCTACCGCCGCCGTCCCGCAGCCGCCAACTCCACCGCCGCCATCGCCGCCGCCTCGCCGCCGCCGCCGCCTCCGCTGCCGCTGCCGCACCGCCGCTTGCGCCGCCCTCAGCCCGCCGCACCTCTCACCACCGCCTCTCGCCACACCTCTCGTCCAGGTGGACTCGCACATCGGCGTCGCCATGTCCGGCCTCTCCGCGGACGCTCGCACGTCCGCTCCTCCCTCCTCCTCCCTCCTCCCGCCCTCCCTCCCTCCTCCTCCTCCCTCCTCCTCTTCCCTCCTCCCTCCTCCCTCCTCCCTCCCAC